AGAGAGAGAGAGAGAGAGAGAGAGAGAGAGAGAGAGAGAGAGAGAGAGAGAGAGAGAGAGAGAGAGAGAGAGACGACGCTGCCCCAGATGCACCCGACAGCGTCGACCATCCTTCCCCCCTGCGCCCACCTTCCCTCCCCTCTGCGGCCACATTCCCTACCCTCCTTGCCCACCTTCCCTCCCTCTCCCATCCACCTTTCCCGCCTTCTGCGCCCACCCACTGCGGCCCAGTTTCCCCTCCTCTGCGCCCCCCTCTGCAACAGCTGAACGCTCTTGCTTTGGATCAGTCCCCGTTGTCGTCTGTCCTTACACAGGAAATACAGTAATAACTGCGCAAACCCGAGAAACTTGCTCGATGCTGTTCTGTGATGGCCACCCGAGATTCGGCTAGCATGTGGTTCACATGCCTTGTGCTGTGATGATTATGAAAGGATAACCCATGCGAGTTTCTGTTTTCATACATATGATGATAGTCAGTACTGCACTCATGTACGGCACCCTGACATGTCATGTCCACTTTGTACACACGGGCTGGAATGGCAATTCGTATCCCATTGCGGTTGGCGTGCCTCTGTCCTCCTAGCTTGTAGGATCCACGTACCCTGTGACATCTGTCTGTGCCGTGCCATTTGCTGCAGCATCTGCAACTGCGAGCATTGGATGCGGTGCTTGCACAGTCCGGGCCCCCGAACCGGTCCTGTCCAGTCTGTAGTGCTGGCCACTTACCATAGGCAAGTGGCAACGGCTGATCCTCAACTCCAAAATTTGATCTCCAGCAACTCAAGCACTGACTGACCTCTCATGTCATTCCAGAGGAGTCTGCTCCAGCGGTGAGTACTGAGAACCCTGTGAAGTTAGTCATTCCTCTGTTCTGATTCTTTGGCACTCTACTTCCCTTCTCTGGTTCTCTCTCTCTCTCTCTCTCTCTCTCTCTCTCTCTCTCTCTCTCTCTCTCTCTCTCTCTCTTGCCTCTTGCCTCTTGCTTCATTTTGAACGCCACCTCTACCCCTTCCTTCCTTTCTTTCTCCCTCCCCTTGTGTAGTACAAATAAATACATACGAGGGGAGCATCATTAAGAGAACAGACGAAATGTAAGCTGAAGAGATCGGAAGAAAAATGTACAGGAATATATCCCCGTTTCACTCTGCCTCCTTTCATAATGTGCAAGTGTGCCTTTAAGGCATACGGGGATGTGGGCAGCTGGCACTCAACCTCAATCAACCTGTCCAGCCGTGAACATGAGAGGTATAGCCAAAGGGGAGCTGGAAGAACAAATTAAAGGGGTACGCCAAAGAGAGCTAAAGTAAATATACTTAAGAAAAGGAAAAAGTGGATCTATTGTGCTCCATGTTGCTTGCTATAGAAGTAGAACTGTTTCATTGATGGATTGGCTCAGGTCAAGCGTGTTTCACTGTCCGCAATAGAGGTAAAGCTGCTTTGATGGGTGGAACAGGGGCTGTTGTGGTGCAAATCTAAACACACCCACAGGCACACCGCCCCAGAACATACTCATGCACATGTGCACACTTACAGGCATGCACACCCACCCAACACTCTCACGCACTCACGCACTGACTCACTCACGCACTCACACACTCAGGCACTCACGCACTCACACACTCAGGCACTCACGCACTTATGCACACACACACGCTCACACACTCACACAGTCATGCGCTGGCACATACAAGCACGTAAAGGCACGCACACAGAGCAGGAGAGAGGGGGGGTGTTACACACACACACACACACACACACAGAGAGAGAGAGAGAGAGAGAGAGAGAGAGAGAGAGAGAGAGAGAGAGAGAGAGAGAGAGAGAGAGAGA